CGTACTGCGCCGTCGAGATCGCGGACGTCGGCAACGAAGGCGCGACGTACGGCCTCGTCACGACCGTGTCCAACTTGGCGTCGCCGTTCGCGTCCGTCATCTACAAGTTCATCGACTCGTACTTTTTGCTGTCGCAGAACGACCTGATGACCGACACGTCCGACGTCCGATGGGACGTCACGTACTCGTACTTTATCTCGTACGGGAGCAAGCTGTTTTCGTTGGTGTGGCTGTGGATGCTGCCTCCCCAACGCCCGCAGATGCAAGAACTCAAGAAGAAGGGCGGCAAGAGCACCTTGGCCGGCATCGTCCTCATCGTGATCTTTGTTTCATGCCTGTCGTTCTCGGTCACGTCCAGCATCATGTCCATCTACCCGTCGACCAAGTGCCACCGCATTGCGGGCGGCAACGGCAAGTACGACGCCAATGGCAAGTGCCCTGCCGTCAAGAGCCGCAAGGGCTAGTTTCTCTAGTGTGTTGTTAAACTTGTGTGTGTGCTTATTCCTTGACATGGACTTGACCAGTCGAGCCGTCGTGTCCCTGCCTTTTGTCGCTGCTGTCGGGGATCGAGTGCGTCTGCGGTGACGTGGGAGTACGTCTCGAAGAATGCCATGTTCGAGCCGTGCGCACGTCGCAGCGATCGCGTCCTCCCCTGTGGCGTCGCTCCTCGAGTGTGGCAGCGACCGACGGACCTCGGGCAGATCGCCATGCAATGCGGCCTGCATGACACATGGAGTGGATAGAAAACGGTCGTCGCGCGTGGTGGGCGATATAGGAAGGCGGCACACCCAGCCCAACGACTTCGTCATGATGCAGAGATACCGTGCTTGCAGTTTGTAGCCGTCGCCTGACGCAACGAATGGGGAAGGTTGTATACATCTGCTGCATCCATCTGCTGGCGCCACGCATACCCAGTGACAAGTGGCATCGCCGCCAAATCCCCTCCGTCGCTTCACACGGTCAAGAGGCTGCAAACACGAAGCTCTCGGGCGACGGCACGTCGTGTGGGCGATGCGGCGAAGCGCAGCCAGGAAGCTCGGTGAAAGATCTCAAACCGATCTCGCTCACTCGTACATGGCCAGTTCGTACACAGTATCGTTCATATTAGACGATACAAGATCGTCGCCCAATTGTGTTGATACGAATGTTTGTATGTCGAGTCAGTTTAGCGCACGACTATTATGCGCAGCCACCAGCCGTCGTCATGACGGCAGATGTGCGGTCGTGAGTGTTTCCATTCCACCGCCAGCGCCTTCCACCAACTACTCACGGACACCGCACGTCAGAGGCTCTCCCCCTTGTCATGGCGCCACCGATTCCAGAGAACTCATTGCGGCAATTCTACGGGCGTGACCTGGCGCTGGACGCACTCGTCGCCAACCTTCGCCAGCGTAAGCCACAACATTGCCTCGTGTGCTTCGTGCCAACCATGTCGAATAGGCGACGACCCGGTCATGTTTCGCGAGTACACGTTGGATTTGACAAAACCGATCGCGGACTCGGTGTTTGAAGTGGCCAAGCCGAAGCGAAGGTCGTTTGTCGCCAAACTCACGTCGAGACAAGCTGAGATGTCGTTGTTTCACCACATGAACAATCCAGACATCCCCGGTGTCCCGGACTACATCGTCGAGTGGGAAACGTTTGGTGATGTAGCATTTGAAGGACTTGGAGCGTGCCACGTCGTCGTGATGAAAAAGTCGACGAGTGTGAAGGCGCTCTTCGCAGGAAAGCAAGCCCAAGACCTCTTTTGGGCCAAAGTGCAATGCGTTCAAAGCGTCGCCAGCGCTCTCAAGTTTCTGCACAGCCAAGGATACATTCACGGTAACTTTACGCTCGACCATGTTGTGTTCGACAACTACAGGGCGAAGCTCCTGGGATTTGGCAACGCGACGCAGATCAACCGAGAGATGGAGCTGTACTGCACGCCCGAATATTGTCCGCCGGAAATGGCCACGCGGCTCGTCGACGGCGACGACTACCTGCAGCCACTGATCGCGAGCGATACATACGACGTGTGGGGCATGGGAGTCGGCATCCTCAAGCTGTTTTCCCCTCTGATGCAACTCAAAGAGTTTATGAATCTGACAAACGAAGAGATTTTGATGGCGATTGCCCATCCGTCGTTCAACTTGGAAGCGAGCATCGCCGCCTGTGGCCTCAACACGTCCCAAAAGAACCACCTGCGCCGCCTCCTCGACCCGAATCCGGCGACGAGAGGCACTCTCGACGACCTGGACAACCTCATCCCGAAAAACGTGACGACTCCCAGCCACACGTCGGCCGACGTGACTGTTCAAATGGAAAAGTACAAAGTGCCGTGTCTGTGGGGCGTGGAAGAAAAGAACGGCGTCGGGTTCATCTCGACGGTGGAGAAGATCTTGCTGCGAACGGAATTCCGCCTGACGTTCTACTGCGAAATGCGCGGGCCCGACCTCAAGTGCGAGCCGTTCGACGACATCAACTGCGACAAGCTCGTGTTCAAGGTCAATCACGAAGTCGTGCGCAAGCTCATCCCGGTGTTGCGCGTCACGTGCGGCTTGTTCAAAATCCTGGGGCTGCTGGCGGAGGCGGCGACGAACGCGGTCGACGTGTTTTCGATACCAGACAGCGCATACACCAACCTCACGGCCGCCGTCCACGCGCTGGAGACGGTCGAAAAGAATGTGCAAAAGCTCAACGTCGAAGACAAGCTCGAGAAGGTTGTGAATGTGCTCGAGGGAGACAGCAACGTCAGCGCCGACATGCTCGAGCAAGCGGCCAAGACAACCCAAGCAACGTTTGACGCGTTCCGAAACGACGACGAGTTGTACGAAAAGCTGCTCAGCTTGCTCTCGACCATCCAGTACAACTGGCAGGAACATCGCATTGTCGGTGGCCTTGTCAAAAAGGTGTACAGGTCTGGAATCAATGCTGGCCAGCTCCGCTGGATGTGCAGAGCCCATGCCGAGCGCGACGCGTCGCTCTTGTACGACGGCGCACTTCCATCGTAAATATCTCCGCCATGCCACCCTCGACTCGAGTGCGTGTTGTCCGCTGGACACGGCTCCGGTTCGTGGCGCTTTGGCCCCCGTCTTTGCCATGGTGTTTGAAACATGTCGACCTTTTGTGTGATAAGTAGCAACCATCCATCCCCTTCGTGCGTTATTCCATCGCGACCCTCAAACGTACATTATAGACGGATCGTCCTGCCGCCGGCGACCGCGCTGTCCTCGAGGAGGTCTCTCCGCGCGGCCCTCGGGCATGACGACGCCGCCCGTGTTCCAAAGGCACCGTCATTGGATTGGGTCACCCTACCACCGCCGACTACCCGAGCCCACCGTCACGTGGTCAAAGAGATTGCGTCGGGGGTGGGGGGGTTGAGATTACTTTTCAAACCCGTTCGTGATGGGCAGCAGGTCGTAGCCCAGCGTCAACGCACCTCCTGTCGGTGCTGGTGCTTGACTTGGTCATGGGTGTCGGGGGTGTCTCGGCGCCGCCATGCAGCGTCGTTGCCTTTGAGCTCGTCGATCACGTCCTACAATTGCATCGAGTGGAGGCTCTCGTGAGCCATTCGATCGAGGTTTCCGTGTCGTGGCACGGCAGACCGACTCGAGCCCGTACGATGGTCGCCGGGATCCTTTTCGTCGATGAACGAGTTAAGTCCATGTCTGCACCACGACAAGTCATGTTACATCGACGCCAGGCATGGGCTCCATCAGCGGACTAATTCGTCGAGTTCCGACGGGTGTACTTGTTGAGCGACTCGCCACGTCTGTGGCGCTTTCGTTCTCACCCGCAGGATGTTGCCGAAATGGCGGTAAGCCATCGATGCACAATGTTGGCGGCAACAAGGACGGCAATGCGCGTCGTCAACGAGCCTTCCTTCACGCCAGCGGATGGAGGATGCACTCGTCGGTAGAATCGTCCGACTATCATCAGCACACACACCGCCGCGATCGAGCATCCCACCAAGTGCATGCAGGACTGCTGCTGAAACTCGTGAAGCTAGCCCGCGATGTCGTGAAATGCCCGGCATGCAACGCATTGCCCGGTCTCGGCGACATTGCTCAGTGGCGTGGGGGATATACCTGTCTGTGGTGTGGCACATCGCCAGGGCCGAATACTGTCAACGGGGGCGTTGTCCATGGCACGATTGGGCCATGGACAACGCCCCCGTTGACAGTATTCGGTCCTTGCTATCACGATCGAAGCAACCGGTCGAAGCCGTGGTTGCTGCCGAGGGAATATGTGGATGCTATCCATCGCGCGATGGAGAATTTGTATTGGAGACGACGCCGCGAGAGCTACGGGGAGAGAAGCGATCGCCGTGGTGCATCCGTCGTACGATCGACGCAACGATGTCGTGCAGGTTGTTTTGGAGGAGGATCTCGGAGAGGATTGTTGGCACGTCGCGGTGGCATCATCGAATCACTCGACAATCGCCGTGGCTTCGTTCGTGTACACGTTTTCCTGCCACACATACCCCTTGGGACGACGAATTTGCATCACGCGCATGGTGCCATGGGGCTTTGTGTGACCTATATGGCACACGACGATCATCCCGAGATATCGAAACACTCGATTCGTCGCGTACTCTTGGCGTCCAGCGAGTGAAAATGCACGAGCTCGTGCATGAGTAGGCGGTAGAAGCTGTCTTTAAACACCAGCGACAGACAAACGTCCGACACAGTGCACACGCCGAGGTCGTCGATGCACGGCTCGAGGTCGGCGGCGGCTTCGCGAAGGTGGAGCCGGCACGCTGCCGTGTCGTACTATTTGCAACAACCCTATGGGTCTACAGGTCCAATGTCGCCGACACAAACCTGAGCAAACGAAATGATCAGCGCTTCCAAGCTATACAGGAACCGACGGTGGCTAAATCGCTGCAGCAACGCAAACGTGCTGTGGGTTTTACGGCACGTGGCGTCTAGTCAAGCGGCGAGAGATGAGGGCCAACACCGTTGCAGCCACACGGCCGACAAGTTGGCGGGGACGCACCTGACGCGTTGACGACAGGGTCGTCCCGCTGACGCTTGCGACGTTGCGATTCAAACGACGGGGCGAACGGGTCCAAGTCGCACCATCGAGAAGGAAGCCATTGGTTGACGATCTCGAGCGAGTTTTCCCATGGAAGATGGCGCCGATGGAGAAACTCGATCGTGGCCGCGACAGATCTGGGCATGTTGGCCAGCGACGTCACGGCCGGCAACCGGCCTCTCCACCTCGTGGCCATGAAGGTGGCCACCGAGTTGGGGCACGTGGAGACTTCGTGCAGCGCGAGATCGTCCAAGTCCATGTGGGTCGTCGTTTGCATGGTACCCAAGGCACACCCGCCTCCCGCGGCGAGGCAACTGGCCGGGCTTTGGTGCAGGTACACCAGCAAACCACAGACGGCGTCGACGACCCACGGACAGTTTACAGCACTGGCAAAACCCACGACGGCGCGCAGGGTATTCGCTTGTAATTTTGCAGACGTCTCTCCACCGCGCGCGACGACAGAGAGGAGGGAAGCGCAGTGGGCTTCCCTGTCGATGCTGAGAATGCTCTGCCGGATCCACGTTAGGTCGGCGGGCCCCATGGCCGAGAGTGTGGCTGATCTGTCTTGGACAAGGAATGTGCTGATGCGCTCCTTCATCACCGACATGCCGTAAAGTTTGAACACTTCGAACGTGACTCGAGACGACTGTAGAATGTGCGACGAGTCGTGCAGGGCCTGCGCCCACGAGTGGAGTTGAGCGACAGAGGGCAAAGAGTCAGGGGTGGTGTGCAGTGCGGCATTTCCAGAAGGACCCGCGGCAAACGCGTGAAATGGCGCAGTCGGCGAGGAAGCGTTGTCGAAGGAGTTGGAGGAGGAGGATGGTGGCGATGGAACGGCCTGGTCCGTGGCAGCTGCGGTTGCAGCTTCGTCCGTCTCGTCCTCTGTGTCGATCAAATGCTCCAAGAGAGAGAACTGGTTGAACGATTTGCGCTCTATCTGTTCCTGTTCGACAGCCCAGTGCGTGAACTCGACCTCGAGCATCATGGAGAGGATCAAGTCGAGTTGATGCAAGTCCTTGGGAGACTTGCGGTGTCGCGACGAGATGCGACCTACGAGAGTTTCGACGGCGTCAGCTTTTTGCTTGAGTTTAAGTGGGTTCACGAGAATGGTAAAGCGTGGCGGGAACAACTTGTCGTAGACGGCGCACAGGTTCGAATTCGAGACAAGGGAGCTTCGCAGTTGTCGAAACAGGTCCAAGTTGGACACACGGGGCGCCCCATCGCGACTGGATTCATCTGTGCTGCTGTCGTGCCGTGAGTAGAAGATGTGCACATGACGCAGCAACGACCGTCCGACCAATTCATCCAGGACGGCATCGCCAACCCATTCGAACACTTCATTCTCGTTCTTGTTCGGGTCCGGTGTGCGAGGACTGCTCGACCGCGCTGGCTGGAATTTCACCTTCACATGCTTTTGTGCCCTGTTCGTCTTGGACTTGTGAGTACCAGCCACGCGGCTCTTCATGCCATTGCGCTTCCGTGGCGCCGCCTTGACCATCCCGCAAACACCTGCGTCAATTCACCTGAACAGTGATTGGCGAATATTCAACGGATTTTATGAAAATGTGCTCCTCCTCTACGTTGATCGTGGTCGTCGGCTTCAGCTACGTCAAGGCGTCCGTCCTGGAGGGCCAGAAGATCTTGGCCGTCTCTCTCACCGAGCCGCTCTTCTACTCGCACCACGGAGCCATCGACGCCGTCCACCCCCCCCTCTACCACAAGTGCCGCCTCGGCCGCCACTCTCGAAATTCAAAATTGGTAAATATATACTCCGGAGTATTGCTCAAAGGAGCAACATGATTGGATTTATTTTAACCAATCATATCAATATACTTTATAATTGTATGCTGAATTTTATCAAACATCAAAGGTTCGGAAATTTGACCTCGTGTCGACTGACTGTGGTTTGCGGTGAGGTGGTAAGATGATATCGGCGCGGGCCGTGCCGCCCACGTCATGGAGTCTTGTAGGTCGAAGAAGGAGGGATGGTGCTCAGCGCGGTGTTTATCACAGACCTGAAGGGGAAGATCATCATCAGCCGCAACTATCGCGGTGATATCCCCATGTCTGTGGCGGAAAAGTTTACCCAGTACGTGACCGAAAAGGACGACAACGAACAGCGACCGGTGTTCACGAACGAGGAGTCGGGCATCACGTTCGTCTATATCAAGGTAGGCTGTGGCATTGCTGCTTGTGGCGTCAAACTCTCATGGCGTGTCCATCGTATGTGCAGTACAACAACTTGTACCTGATGACGGTGACCAAAGTCAACTCGAACGTGGCGCTCATGCTCATGTACCTCAACCGGATTTGCCAAGTCTTTCAAGAGTACTTTGGCGAGCTCGAAGAAGAAAGCATTCGCGACAATTTTGTCATCATCTTTGAGCTGTTGGACGAAACGATGGACCACGGGTACCCACAGACGACGGAAGCGCGCATATTGCGAGAGTACATCACGCAGGAAGGACATCGCATGGAGTCGGCGCCGCGCCCGCCGACGGCTCTCACAAACGCCGTGTCCTGGAGGTCCGAAGGCATCAAGCATCGCAAGAACGAAATCTTCCTGGACGTTGTCGAGAAGCTCAATCTGCTCGTCGCGTCCAACGGCACGGTATTGCATTCCGAAATCCTCGGCGCGGTCAAGATGAAGTCGTTCCTGAGCGGCATGCCCGAGTTAAAGCTCGGACTGAACGACAAGATGTTGTTCGAGGCGACGGGGCGCTCGAGCTCGTCCAAGGGGAAAGCCGTCGAGATGGAAGACATCAAATTCCACCAGTGTGTGAGACTGGCACGCTTCGAGACGGACCGCACGATCAGCTTTATTCCACCGGACGGCGAGTTCGACTTGATGACATATCGGCTGACGACCCACGTGAAGCCGTTGATATGGGTCGAAGCAGTCGTCGAGCCGCACTCGCGCAGCCGTATCGAGTACATGGTCAAGACCAAGTCGCAGTTCAAGAGCCGTAGCATTGCCAACAACGTCGAGATCGTGATCCCAGTGCCGCCGGACGTAGACAGTCCGTCGTTCAAGTGCAGCATTGGGAGCGTCACGTACGTGCCGGACCGTGACGCGATTGTGTGGACGATCAAGCAGTTCAACGGAAGTCGAGAGTACCTCATGCGTGCGCATTTTGGGCTGCCGTCGATCTCCAACACCAACACGGTAGTACCAAACACCCGCGATGGATTTCGAGCAATCGACGCCTGTGTATAGGCGGCGACGGACGAGTGGAAGGCGCCGATTCAGGTCAAATTTGAGATTCCATACTTTACCGTGTCAGGCATCCAAGTCCGGTACCTCAAAATTATTGAAAAATCCGGGTACCAAGCGCTGCCGTGGGTGCGGTACATCACGCAGAACGGCGACTACCAGCTGCGCATGTCGTAGAAACGTCCACTCAATAAACATGGTGCCGATTCCATCGCGGGCTCCGGTTCCTCGGTGCCGTCTAGAGATACACAATGCATGGGGCCAACCAGCCACACTCACGTCATGACAAGGAAGCGACCGACCATTTGTTGGAGCAGTTCATTGGCAAATTCTCGTGCGGCGCCACACGTGCTTGGTCGTTCATATCCATCCTCCATCGAGAGTCTTGACGTAGCACATGACGAATGCCGCCCTGATCGGCGGCGCCGAGTGGATGACCGCCAACGGCAGCGTCAGTTCGAATCGCAGGACATGCCTGGCGACTTTGTGAGAGCAAAATAAACACAACTGTCGTGGTGGTGTTCATGGTACTTTTCAATCGGGGTGGCCTCGTGGTTGCTGCACTGCATCAAAGCACGTCGTACGTGCTGTTCGTCATGTTGGGGCCTTTGATCGACTCCAGCATCATCGTCTACTGCATCAGTTTAGCGCATTTGTGACGACGACGGTTCAAGATCACTTGAACCACCAGCACGTTCACCTCTGTGCCCAGGTGCGACTGTGATGTCTTTCAAAGAACAGCCAACGTGCTGAAGAAGGATTTCGTCCAGGTCGTACTCGGCTGTAACGAGGGCGACACCGCGTTTCTAAGCTGTCTCTACGCTCGTGACACTTCCGCCATGTTTGCAGTTAACAGTTTGTTTTGTCCTTTGAGCAGGCTGGGCGGGCAGTGAAAAGTGTCCATTCTGAAATGAGCTCCACCGACCACCGTGCGCCGCCTCGTTCTCCCGCTACCCGTTGTTGTTCAAGCG